CCATCGCTGCTAGGTTGGAGGCCATCGCTGCTAGGTTGGAGGCCATCACTGCTAGGGTGGAGGCCATCCCCATTAGGTGGTCTTTGGATTAAACGACGTCTATAGAACTTGATTCGTCGCGCCTTTGAATTTGATGCAATTTGACCTTCCGCAGGGGCGGACCTGCGTGCAGAGAACGCTCCCAAGCGCCTTGACGATGATGTTCCCGTGGATCCACGAAAGAAGCTCGCAATGCTGGCTGGTTTCAATGCAGGAAGGTGCTCCTCGTTGCAAGGGATAGCTACCTCACCGGCCTTCTTGGGTCTAGCTCGTAGCAAGTAGCCGTAGCAGTAATCGCAATCGTAGTCAGGTCGTAGGTCGTAGGTCACAGTTGCTGTCGCCAGTCGCCTGAACTGCCCCAACCTTTTGGTGCCATATTCTTGTTTTCTCAGCGAGACAGATACGAGATGTTTGTGGGGTTTACGGCCAGGATAAACTTCGGGAAGGTCTCGTCAGTATCGGAGTGAGTAGCTCAGACCGCTCTGAATTCCTGATGTTGGCGAAGTCATGGTGCGGTTCCACTTCACCGTCTTGCCTGTTAAAAGGCTCGGCTGCTTTGGCAGCAAAGTCAGTTGGAGCCGAGCTCAGGTTGGTCCTGATGATTTCGACCGTGCCTGGGGCCGCCTTGGCGCCAAGCTCGGGGACAGTGCTGAAATTTGTTTTGTTTTGGCATGAAAAATCGATGAAAGAACAATGACTGATGAATGAACCATGCGGCAAACAGATGAGGGAAGAACAAAACATGAAAGATATTTTGAACAAAGCAACTAGGAACAAGGGTATCGCTAGTAGCATTCTTACTACTAGTAACAAGAAGCTACTAGTAGCAAAGGGCATCGCTACCAGGAGCATATTCTGGGCTTGGTCGAGCATTGACCTGTCTCCCTGCAGGACCTAAATCTGGTCGTTCAGCAGATGAACCAACTCTTCACAGAAGTGCTGCAAAATGCGGACTGGGGAGATGAAAGCATTGGTTTAGGCCTAGAGTTTAGGCATTCTGAAGATTCTGAACATGGCTCCAGAGTTCTAAAAAGGTTGGAGGCCATTACTACTAGTTACTAGTAGCTAGGGCATCCATTGGCCTGGCTACATTGCCATGTCTGTCTCCAGGACTCGGACGAGGTGAATATGCCCGACTAAACTAACGCCCGACTAAACTGACGCTGAAAAGGATTCGGTCGGCCAGAGCTTGGACACTTTGATCGGGATTTCTTGAGATGTTCGATCGACAAACATCACTTGGACCATTCTGGTTCTTTTCCTTGCGATTGAAGTCATATGTTAGGGCTTGCGGGACATTTTTCCTCCTACTGTAATTTTCATGTCATTGTTTGGATTGGAACTTTGCGTGTTTGGTCAATGTTTACGTGTTTTTTGCCCTAACTGTACGAAGCACGGTTCCAACCGGCAGAACCGAGTCGAAAGTTTCCACGCCTCAACAGAGAAGCAGCAGAGCGTCATGGGTAACGGTCCGTAACAGCAGAGCGTAGCGATGCCAGGAGCCCCTAGTAGCGTCCTTGCTCCTAGTAGCGATGCCAGGAGCCCCTAGTAGCGTCCTTTGCTCCTAGTAGCGATGCCAGGAGCCTCCTAGTAGCGTCCTTGCTCCTAGTAGCGATGCCAGGAGCCCCTAGTAGCGTCCTTTGCTCCTAGTAGCGATGCCAGGAGCTCCTAGTAGCGTCCTTGCTCCTAGTAGCGATGCCAGGAGCCCCTAGTAGCCTAGTAGTGTGCTTGCTCGTAGTAGCGATGCCAGGAGCCCCTAGTAGCGTCCTTGCTCCTAGTAGCGATGCCAGGAGCCCCTAGTAGCGTCCTTGCTCCTAGTAGCGATGCCAGGAGCTCCTAGTAGCATCCTTGCTCCTAGTAGCGATGCCAGGAGCCCCTAGTAGCCTAGTAGTGTGCTTGCTCGTAGTAGCGATGCCAGGAGCCCCTAGTAGCGTCGTTGCTCCTAGTAGCGATGCCAGGAGCCCCGAGTAACATACCTTCAAATTCGCTGAATAACATACAAAAAACAGAGCTAGCAAAAAGGACGGTCTGGGTCTTCAAGTGGCCAGGTCCAGAATTTAAATAGCCGGTTGGTTGGGTTAGACTACCCTTTGTTTAGTTTGTACAGAATTCAGCCAATTATTTAGACCAAAGGTAATTCAGAACTCTCACCAAAGGACTCTTTATTTTCAAAATTAAAGCAACGCAAGCTGAGCTCTGGTTTTTATTCCTTAAAACAATAAATAGCAATCCGCCTCTTCTCACTACCAATCATTTAGTTAAGAAAAATACGCAATTTGTATGTTTTTGGTTGCTGTTTCAATGAAATCAATGGTAACTCATTGAGTTGGCTGGACCTCAGTGGACTCATGTTTGAACTCATTGAGTTCTGGTTTAACTATGGTTTTCAATAACTGAGGGGCATCCACTTTGTGTTTAGAAACAGCTGGGGGACCCTGGTCCCCACCATTAGTGCTACGCGTATATGATTCTGTTGCCGCCAACTTAGTCAAAGGTACTCCCAAAAGATTCTTGTCGTCTTGTCCATGGACCCTTTAGCCGCCCGAGCCGGCATCGATCTCTACTTGGATCCTGTCGAGTCAGCATCTAAGCTGAACAGATGAACTTTCTCCCTCGTCAGCCGCATGAGCGCTATAGAATCTCAGCCTCACGTAATTCTTGGCGGCGTAGTCTGCGTAGTCTCTAATTTTTGAGTCTTAATTTGATGCAACGTTGCTGCCGCGTGGCCGTTCCCACAGTCAGACATAAGGATTCGGAGCAAGGCCTATTATAAGCTTTGGGGCTTCCTCCTTCCTCGGTCTCCTTGCGGTGGCACAACGGTGCGGTCACGTCGCTCACGACCGAGAACCGTTACCAGTGGGCGCAAGAGGAAGCTTGGCCCCATTTGAGAAAAGCAAGCGGCGGCTTGATTCCTTTTTGGAGCCGGAAGTTAGAATATCTTTCAATCATCAATCACCCTTTGAAGCAAGCGACCTGGAAACAGTTCGTCTAAGCAGAATGGCTCGTTCTCACTTCATTTCAGCTTGTGAATTTTGCTGCAAAAGTCAAAGTGTTAGAAACAGAAAGTGCTAAAGCCTTCTGACTGATTGCAAACTATCAGGCTACAGCCACAAAGCTAAACTTGTAGAGCGACTGCTATACATTCTCACTGCAAGCTGCCTGAATGTCTTCCACACCCTAGGGCTTTTGGGACATGATGGTATTATTGAGCAAAGCGCAGTCAATCAGTCAAAGCGCACGATCCACTTCGGAACTCCCACTATGTCCAACATCCATTTTCCAACCGAAGGCCTTCATGTGAGACTTCACAAGCTTCAGACACAGTCCGAGTGAGTGAGTCAGCGGTTCTACTTAACAGGTCCTTGCAATTCAAATCAACTCTGGACATCACACTGGCAGTCCTAGCCTATCTAGAAAAGCCTTCAAGCATCTTCGAGCAAAGAACTGCCAAACGCATCCAACTGGCATTGTTTGGGGTTAAGGTTTGCTGGAACAAAACTTCAAGTAGATCTCTTTCAAAGAGCCCAAATCATTCTGGAACTTGCTCTTGTGCTCAACGATAGGGTGTTCAACAATCTGGAAAGTCGAATCTGCGAAATGCATTCCTTCAAATGTGTTTTCTTCAGCGCGGAAGGACCAGGGTTCTCAATGAGTTCAACCCGGCCAGCTTGTTTGCAGTACGCACGCGTTTTGATTGCCTGACGCGTCACATAGTATGTAGATAGCTTATTCTTGGACTCTCGAAACCTTGCTCGGCAACTACCGGGTCTTGTCGCAGCTGGTCTAGGAGATGCGTTGGGTCTCGGGCTGCGCGACGCTTGCACACACCGTCAAGAACGCAAAAGGCTTTCGCTCCAGAAGTCCGGAAGGCTAAAACTAGAAACGTATCTAGCAAAGCAGAAACTGAAGCATTAACATCAGGCAAATGCTCAGCAAAGTTGAAACACAAAAAACAACTGTCGCTCGGTTGCGCATCTCATAATTGCAGCTAGCGACCAGGTGACTTATTGACGCCCAGCAGCCCAGCTAAAAGGTGAAACTAACCACTTGCTTGCATTAGTGGCGCAGTACAGCTCCATGTTGTTGCCAGCCTGAAAGTCAAGAATCAGAAAACTATAGAAAAGTCAATCGCGCAATCACATTCCGAGAAGGTATATTCGAAGTCATCCTACCAATCCCCAACCCTATTCCAGCATGCATATACCCAAGGTTGATTCCCCCAAGATGGATTGTATAATTTGTTTGTCTTGTCTTGTTTTTTGCCTCCGGGTCGGAAACCGAACGTATAGCCCTGCTAGTTTTCAAACTCGATGCATATTGCACATTTCCGACCCGGTGCCCACGCATGTTAACTTTATGTAGACGATGATGACGGTGATGATGATGACGAGGATGATGATGCTGCTGCTGATGATGATGATGAAGAACTGTTCATGAGTTGTTGATGTGGCGACAGAAGATACTACGCGAGGTTCTGGGGGTTTGTGGGGGGCTGGTTTCGTTCGTGTGATCAGTAGGATATATTACGGGAGGTTCGAGGGGGGCTGCTTTCGTTCGTGTGATTAGCAGAACACGATGGTGATGAGTTGCTGATGCGACGACAGAAGATACTATACGGGAGAAGGGGTTGGGGGGTGGGCTGGTTTCGTTTGTGTGATCAGTAGAACACGATGGTGATGAGTTGTTGTTGCGACGACAAATGATACTACGGGAGCTTCCGGGGGGTTTTGGGGGGTGGGCTACTTTCGTTCTTGGCAGTGGCGCTTCATGCGCACGGGTTTGAAGGACCCGATGTCATATTACGGCAAACAGCTGTCGGAGAGTATGTGAAAAAGGCCGCCAGCAAACGTGCGAGTTTTGCGTTGCATTTCCCAAGAGGGGTTGCAGCTCTCTCCAACTCGCATTCAGGAAACGACGCCTTGTAGGGCCGAGCAACTATGCGGAGTCGCAATCATAGGGCGTGGAAGTCAAATTTTGCAATCACTTAGAAGGATTTCCAGGGATGTTGAATGCGTGCCACTTGCAGGAAACTCTTCCGCATCAAGTCAGATTTCCAATCTTTTGCTCATAATTACTTAGTTCTTGAGTAATAGGTAGAAAATGCGCAGCGCGTAACTCATACCAAACCTGGCAAAGCAAACGTGTTAGTCTCAGCCTAAATGAACACAGGTAGCGACACACAAGAAAGGCAAGCGCATTCACGACGGCTTCTTCGAACCTGGGTCAAACCTGCGTGCAACCATGCACAAGCAAAGCAGTTCGTGATTGGATTGCTTCCCGGCACTTGACTTGTATGAGGGCAATGCAATATACGCAACGTCATTCACTCAATCACTGGCGCATGAGTGCAACGTGTGCTGAAATGGCACTGCCGCCGCCTACCAGGTTAGTTGGACCCCGGTAGCTGCCTTTCTTCACCTCCTCCTAGGGCCCATTTTGGCCGTAGATTGCAGGTAGTCGCATCTTAAATTGAAAAACACTGCAACTCCTTCATCATCAAGCGTATTCTTTCGTGGGTGTGCTCCATTCTGAACGCACATGAGATAGGAGTTCATAGCAAAACTCCCAACTCACTTTGGGCAACAAGTCCTGTCTCATTTTGACCTAATATATCTGTGCAACAGGTTTGCGCTAGTCACAAAAACCTAAGAACTGTCAGGACAATCTGCTGATCTCTTCACGCTTCTCATTGTTCTGCAACAAGCATCAAAATTGAACTGACCCCTCGACAAAGTCAAAAGGAACAAACTTAAGTCTGCGAAGGACACTGATGTGTCAACGTCACGACATTGAACCAGCAACGACTTAGTAGATGCATCTCATGAAACGGTTTCATTCTTCCACAAACCGGAAACACCTCTCGACACTTGTAAATGAAGCGTGAATGTCCGAACAGTGACAATGGTCTCTGCAAGGTGTCAAGTGCTTCTGGGAACGCTCGCTATAATAAGATTTCAGCGGGGCACTCGCGCTTCAGAAGTCCAGCAAAGGTGATGGGATGTCAAAAATGCAACTAGGTCTGGCTTCATCAATCATACATCACACCAAGCACATTCCCGCTTCTCGCATAAGAGGCAGGATCTTCTCAGCAAAAGTTGTGGCGCAAACAACCAGGAAGGCCACTGCCGCGACTTGAGATGAATTGTCGACGCAAGTATGAAATGCC